GAAGCACACGCTGCATTGGCGAAAGTGAAGTCGTTCTTTTATGCGCTTAATATTAGTGAACGTGACGAGGAAAACATTTTGAACGTGGAAAGTGCTCTGTTTGGTCTAAAACGTAAAGTTTCGACAAACCAGTTGTCCATTAAAGACTATTTTTGGTAAAAAGAAGTAACTTTGAAAGAGAAACATTGTTTTTTTTAAAAAATTTTAATGCTTTCCCGCATCTATCGTTTTCCCGCATTCATCGTTTTTATTTCCCACCCCCGCCGAAAACGATGCATCGAGGTTTCACTGTATTCCTATATTATACTTACTGTGCATAAATAACTAGAATAAACATTATACCAGAATGTACTGCATTTGTAAAGCATTGCTCTTACCTGTATAGGGAATATCTTAACTGCAACTGTATCAGTCTTGTACTGAGCCTTCCACACAGCACCAAAACGTCCCCTGGCTTTAATCTCCAGAAGCTGAATGGGGCGTAGACCCAAAAGTGGCGAGGGTGGAGGTAATGGGTGCGGTTCAATTGTGGGAAGCTGAAAATTAACAACGAATTTACAAACACCATCACGAAGTCCACAGTATTTATCACGGGAGAAAGGTCTGCCGGCCATTCTACACGAATACCGCAGAGGTAATTTATATATCTGTTTTATGTATGACTTATGATAAAGAGAAATGTTCAAACTCATAAACTAAAGACTGTGAACAGAGTGTGACAAATTCAAAACATTTTTGAACTGATTTTAACAAGAAATCTGTTGGATAGATTATAACAGGAACAAACTGCAAGTACTCAAAAATATATAAACTAAAAACCAAAATTCTGAGAGATCAAGGGAGAATGAATGGAAGCCTGTTACAGAAGATAAAATATACATCCCAGTTCCCAGTTCTGAGGTCTTCAGGGTGGGGAAGACCACTGATCATGGGCTTCTGGGTTGTCATGCTGTGTAGTCAACATACTGGAGGAACGCGTCACCCCCACATTCACAGTTGAAATGAATCGGAATGGTATATAAGGTATTTGCACATTTAGTTGGACAGCCAATGGGAATAAGGACATAATACAAATCCAGTAAGCCAGCAGGGAGAAAAGAAAGAAAAAACTTGTTGATGGGACAGCTTCATTCTTTGAAAGTGTGTGCACTGCGTGTACGCAGGAAAAGAGAAGGATTTAAAGACAATCTCGGAGTGTAAACACCGTGATCTGCTGTGCTGATTGCTTCAGACTTTCAGCAGAACAGAACTTTTCAAAGTACAAAACTAAGGTAAGCACAGAAGCAGATTTGTAAATGTGGGAAGACTCGGTAAGAAAAAAAATCATCCGTATTCTACACAAATATATTAGAAGCTTCAGAGCTGCTTCATAAAGATTTAATCAGAATTTGGTGTGGCTATCTAAAAAATCTGAATTCCAGTAAGCTGAATTACGCGTCGACAGTGACACTGTTATGTTTGTAACTAACTTTATGTCAGAAAAAGAAGTATATCTGTAGATCTGTTCTTAAAAAAGCAGTAACAGTTAAGCTGTCTGAAACATGAGTTTTGATCAACATGAGACCAGGTTATTTACAACCTCTAAAGGTGGCGACTGACTTGTAACATTTACTCGTAATGTAACATTCGCGGCGAGCATGTTACATTACACCACAACTGGTGAGGCGCATCGAATGCTCGTTTTGAACGCTCGGCTCGACTGTGCTCATGTGTGCTCCATTCATTTCATTCAATATGTCGGACGTGGAGGTTGTGTTATCTTTGTTTCATTTAATACGCTACTCTTATCTAAAGAACTCGTGAATGCTCGTTACGACGCCGCTCGACTGACTGACTGACT